AGAGAACGTCATCCCTGCCTCCCCTGCCTGCAGCAGCTGGCCCCCCCGGCCCCAGTGGGGCAGGCTGAGCAGCCAGCACCCCGGGAAGGCGGCAGCCTGCCGAGGATAGCAAATGGATGCAAAATAAAGCCGGGTGTGTGCCGCCAGGCATGCTGCTCCTGTTCAAGGACCCACATTTTGCCAGCAGTCCAAAAGAAAAGGGTTTTTCTCCCCTCTCCTAATAAAAGATGATGCCACTCTGAAGCCCCACACCAAGTCCTTGGCTGTCCAGAAGAGGCTGCAGCCTTGACACAGCTCAGCAGCTTTGACATCACCCCTGCTGCTTCACTGCCATCAGCCCTCTGCAGAGCACAGCGTGGTCCCCAGCAGGGACAGGGGCTGTGGACACGTGTGCCCTCCCAGCAAGAGTGGGCAGGGGCCTGAAAATGCAAAGGGTGAGCAGCACCAGAGAGAAACCCTGGAGATGCAAAGCCCAGGATGAGTTACAAGGTGAGCCAAACATCTCTGTCCACTATCCCTTGTTTCTACCCAACACTTCCATGATGGAGTACACAAGCAATTTGAGAGAGGAATTTCTGCTAGAGCCCAGGCACCAATCCCATCCATTCCTGCACCATAATACATCATGGCTGAGATAAGGCACCAGCGATGGCCCTTGTAGAGCTCAGACCAGCACTGGACAACAAGACGATGCCCTCTCATCCCATCACCACCACACCACAGGAAGCAGCCATGTGTTCAGCCAAGGTCGGCTCTGGCTGGAATCTCCTCTGCAAGAACATTTGCTTAAACATGTAACAAGGTGACTCCCTGCTTCCCTCAGTCCTGGAGGAATCTCTCCTCCTAAGGCCCCCAGCTTACCATCCCCAGTGTGGCTGCCACATCTCACACATGCAGGTTGCCTCTAAGGCCCCAGTGGTCAATCCACTACCAGACAGAGGATGCCATTCCCTCACCCTCGGGTATTTGTAATTCTCTTGATCAGGTTTCTGAAGACAGGCAATAGCCTTCCAAAGAAACCAGATGCACTTGATTTCTCCTCCCCATCCTCCTGGGCAGAAGGCAGCCCCAGCAGCTGCCACATCCCCGAGGCTCAGCATCTCGGAGGAGCAGTGATCAAAGCCATCCCTCTCCCATTGCGGTAGGCTCCGGATGTCAGCTCCATGACACCCCGCCTACCCATCCTGCCAGAGAGACTCTGTGCATTCATCAGGCATCTCCAGAGAGGCACACGGCAATCTGGAAGGCCCAGAGATGCCAGACCGCTAATGTGCTAGGGAAAAGACGTCAGTGAATATTACAAACACCCCAGAGGATAAGAGGCAGGACAAGGGAGGAAAGACCTGGAAGGAATTAGACTAAAAAAAGCGGGAGAGAGCCTGCACTTGGGAAATTCATGGAGGAATGGCACTGTCTTTTTTCTTGTTTCAAAAAGGGTGATACTGCTGAAGCAGATTCAACTGCACTAAGAACATGTGAGGAGGTCTCACATTCTTCCTCTCCTGTCCAATACTGCAGTATTAAGTGCTGAGGGAAAACAAGATTGCAGGGCACAAGTCCTGCTTGTGCACTGCTCCTCTGAGATGGACAGAGCAGCCTGGACTAAACATCAGCAATCCATCTTCATCATCACCCCAGCAGCAGGCTGTCAGTCACACCAGGGACAGCTCCTGGGCACACAAAAGCACACGCAGGTCACAAACCAGATTGCACCATTTAGGCAGTGAAAGGTTGAGCATTATCACAGCCTGAAGCCCTTGGCCTTCCCTATCCTCCAACCCCTCCAAACACAGCAACAGAGCCCCACTCAGCAGCAGATGCAGGGAAGCAGAGCCAGTCCAGAGCTGCCGGGCTCCCAGCACAGCGTGGCCATGCCAGCCGGCTCTAGCTGTGCTGAAGCCAGAGCAGCATCTAGGTCAGGCTCAGAAGAAAACAAAAAGCAGACAAGCAGCCCTCAGCTAGGACTGGGGGATGCTGACACAGTAACCCTATCAAAACAGCTCAGCCCCAGTGCAGCCCCTCTCCTTTCCTGTGCCACGAGAGAGCTCCCTATGGAAAAACAGAGCAAAAAAACACAGGGAGCAACTTTCAGATGGCTCCTGAAGTGCAGCACCTGAACCTGGCACCTGTCCACAGGCTTTTAGACCTGTCAGCTGGCTCTGCCTCCAGCATCTGCACCCTCTTGCCTCCCTGAAACCACTGTTCACAGCTGGAGGTGTCTCCCTCTGGCACTGGTTATGCATAAACACAGCAATGAACCTTTTCAGCTACACAGGCACCCCAGAGCCCTGCAAAACCCCACTACATAATAAACAACAGTAGGGGTACAAAAGGATTTTCCAGGGACAGAATCTTCTCCATGAAATCCATCAGAAGAGAGTGACAGGCACAGTCTCACCAGACTGCCCTAGTCACAACTGCCTCACATGATGACCTCCACTGCAGGGACCTGGAAAGGCTTCAGTCCTCTGATTTATGAGATAACCAGCTCCTCATGTTGTTCCTAACCCCAGCACTTATCACTGACTGACTCAGAGTGGAGTCAAACGCTGACTTAAATCAGTATTCAGTATTATTAATAGAGCCATGCACAAAACCTGGCAGGTGGAAGAACCCAGGCCAGCAGGAGCATCACTCATCTGCCAGCATCACCACTGACAAAGCAGCTCTACCCACCTGCCTCCCACCAACCCTGCTCCCAGCAAAGCCCATCTTTCCTTCACGTTGTACCCCACAGACCTTCCTGGAAAAGACTGACACAGGAAGGCCCTAAGCTGCTGGACCTCTGTGTTTTTTTCATGGGGTGATTCCACCCCATGCTTCTTCTCCTATTCAGGGACTGTGCTGCTGCCCCCCACCAGCAGCTCAGAGCCCCACTGCAGTCCACAGCTGCACCTTGAGAGGACACTACTGAGATGGCAAAGCCTGCAGAGATCAGGAGAGGCAGAGGCAGGCTGGGGGAGGGGAGATGAAGCATCCTAGAGGGCATCTCTGCCTCCTCCCAGGCGTTGGGAGACTAAATCCCGAGCAGCTTGGCAAGGATGAGCTGCCTCTCAGCACAGCCGCACCTCACCCAGCCTGTGCCGGGTGCCCCCCACCCTGGCACTGCCCACCCTTCCCGGGCAAGTGTGCGCCTCATTGTTGGTGCAAACAAAGGAGCGGTTTGTGTCTGATGAAAAGAAAGGGAGTCAGAGGCAAAATCATCCAGCAGCCCTGGATGTATGCAGATTAAGCTGCAGAAGGTTGCATGAACGTAGCATTTTCCAGACATTAGTTAATCCCCGGGGCTGTGCTGTGTCTCCATCTCCCTGGAAGAGGTGGGCTGTGCCTCACCTGCAGCCACAAAGGCAACCAGCGCCCAGTGACAAACCTGACATCCCTGACCTGACATCTCCTGTGAGGCCAGGCAACCCCCTGGGGAGGGATGGGCGTGAAAAGCTTTCAGAAATGGTTTAGTTGTGGGCTTGGCAAGGCTGCACTAACATTGGACATGATGATCTGAGAGGTCTTTTCCAACCTAAATGATTCCATGATTCTATGTGCCCACCAGCACGCCCATGAGTACTGCTTTGGCAAGGATCTCAGTCTATTCTTATAGAGGAAAAATGAGGACACTGGGATTCCCACCAACTGTCTGAGGACCAAGCTATGGATGTCTGCTGGATGTCTGGCTACAGAGCAAGTGGAAGAGTCATGCACTTGCTCTTTGCCCTTCAGGGATGCATCCTCTGCTGCCATGCCCCCATCACCTCCAAGGTGACTAAGGGGAGGGTTTTGCCCAGCTGCCCTCCCGGGTGTGCTCACTGAGGTGCTCTGTTTAGGCTCTGTGATGAACCCCAGGTCACACATCAGCTGCTCAGAGCTCATCCCAACAGCAGTGTGATGCCAGCAGGCCTTGGTTTGCCGTGGCCATTCCCTGGATCCCAGATTTCAGCAATCAGCCTCACTCCTGCTGCCCTGTAGGAAGACCTTGAGCTTCAGCAGGAGCAAAGGAGTGGGATTCCTGGTTTAGCAAGGTATCAGTGGGCCATCCGCAGGCGGGAGGCTTTTCCCAACCGTAATACCCAATAATTCCCAGCACCTGGCAAAAGTTCCTTCCTTCCATGCCTAATGGAGACACTGATAATGGGCTTCACATTGATGCAGCTGGTTCAGTAGCCAGGACCAGACCCGTGGGTTCTCGCTGCCCAGCGCTGCAGCTGGCGACCTAGAGGACGCCAGTCAGAAACACAACCCCTCCCTTCTGCTCCCATTCCTGCCACATCATTTTCGCTCCCGGGCCGCCCCGGCGGCTCCCCCTGCAGCCCCATGTCCCGGACCCCAGCAGCGGCAGGGCGGGCGGGCACAGGGGACGCCGCCCGCCGCCCTGGCCGGGCCCGGCACCGCCGAGCAGGTGCCCCCCCGCTCCCCGAGCCGCGTCCCCCGCAGCCCCGCGGCACCAGCGGCATCCCGCCGCCGAGCCCCCCCGCCCCGCCACGGCCACCGTTGGGCCGGCGGCGCTCGCTCACCTTCTCCACGTTTTCCACGGTGAAGTCGAGGCCCTGCGGCGGCGGCGCCTCCGCCCTCCGCTCCATGGCTGCGGCGGCGCTCAGGAGGCGGCGGCGGGCGGGCGACAGCGGCGGCGCACGGGCAGCCGCATCGCGGCGGGACCCGCCTCCCGCCCCGACGGGGGCGGCGGCCGCGGCGGTCGGGCCGGGAAGCGCCCGCGGGACTCGCCGAGCAGCCCCAGCGCCCCGCTCCCCTTCTCCGCGGCCCCGCCTCGCCTCTCCCCGCGGCCCCGCAGGCGCGGCCGGGCAGCCCAGGACCTGCCGCAGCGCCGCGCCGCACGCCGGGAGCGGTAGTCCCGGCCCACGCGCGTCCCCTGCCGGGCACCGCGCACCGGCACCGCGGGCAGTGCCGCGGGAGCCGCCCGCAGCACCGCTCCGCACCCTCCCGCTGCCGCCTCAGGGGCACCCCCGTCCCCGTCCCCATCACGGGCACACGCAGGGGCTGGACGCGCAGCCCATCGCTTTATTGCTACAGGAAAAGGCGACTGTACAAAAATAGAGTTTATCCCTCAAATTTTACAAATAATAGAAAAAGGATGCGGGGTGCACGGGGCGCTGCCCAGGGCTTCAGTGCAGCGCTGGGGTTAAATTACACCCGGCCGCTGGGGGCCCAAAGTCATAAATAGGAGCTGCCGCTCGAGAACAATAAATAAATAATTTAGAGTAATAAATAGTTTAGTGCCACAGCACCACGGAGCAGCGCGGGGACCCTGCCACTACCCTGGGAACCAGGCAGGGGTGGGGGTCCCAACGGGTGTCTATGACAGAACACCCTGCGGAATACTAGGGTCTGCTCCTGGTCCGGGTGCAGACCCCCCACTCCACTCTGGTGCAAATTGGCCCCACTGCATCCCTGCCCTCAGGGACAGCCCTCCCCTGCACCACTGATTCCAGCGTGCCCGAGGGGACAGGGAGGTTTTGCCCCCTCTGAAGCTCGGGTGATGCTTGGCCCCTGGAGCACAGGTGCAGGAGTGCTGCTGATGGACCCTGGGCTGGCAGACCCTTGGGAGTGGTGGGGATGATCCATACTCTCTTCAGCTCGTCTCCCAGGGCTGAGCCAGGGCACCTGGGCAGGACCCCATGTAGCCGCTGGCACCAGCTGCTTGGCACTGAGCAGGAGCGGGCTTGGCCACCCACACCCCAGTCATGACTCCACCTCACCTCGGTTCTTTGTGGCCACGTAATAACAGGGGCACCGGCCTCTGCCAAACCCTTGTTCTGAGCAACAGTGCCACTGCATGTGGCAAGCTGGAGTCTGTCGGCATGTGTCGAGCTGGGGCCAAGCCAGCGGCCCCCTCCTCAGCCAATACAGCTGCACTCGGCGGCTGAGAGCTTCTCCACTGTCTGCCATGTGTTCTCCACATCCATGAAGGAGACAGCCTCGTAGCGGGTGGGTCGGCAGCAGGGGTGGCTGAGGACCCGCTCCTGCGGCCCCGGGGCGATGAGCTGCTGCCGCAGCAGGCTGCCCAGCGTCAGGTCATAGTTGCTGCGTGCCCGGTGGCAGGACCCGCTGCAGTACTTGAAGAGCACGATCTCGTCCGAGTTGAAGCCCAGACCCAGGTCACGCACTTTCACCATCAGGTGGCGGATGTGGCAGTTGCGCCCACGGGTGCGCCGTGGGGATTTCATCCCCGGCTTTTTGGCTTTGCTGGCACCTGGCGGCGAGCGCTCAGCACGCAGCAGCAGGTCCTCCGCCAGCTCTGCGGTGCCTGGGCTACCTGTTGTCGCGTTGTCCCCTGCACATGGAGGAGATGGCGCTGTCATGACCTATCCTGCACCCATCGCCCTCCTTCTGAGCCTGCCGGTTCCCGCTGTGACCTACGGATCCCTCCTGATCACCCACCGTGGCAATGGCTGGTGCCTGAGAGGGTGTGTAGGTGTGTGGGAAGATACTTCCAGCCAAGAATCTTCTCATCTTCTCATTTCTAGGGCTCTGCCACATGCCCAGCATGAAGCTCAGGGCCCTGTGTGTTGAGATCCCCTCAGCCCAGCCCCAAAGTGCAGCCATAGCCCCACATGGGCTGGGGCTCCCCACAGTAGCTCCCAACCTGCCCATGCCCCACACAGGGGACCACCACGCCCAGGCTGGGGGGCCTGTCCCAAAACGCACCGTACAGCTGGCTCCAGGCAGCGGCAAGTGGTGCCTCCACGCCATCCTCCGCAGACAGGCTGGCAGTGGCCGTGCCCCGTGGCGTGGGGGCTGCATCCAGCGTCTCGTTGCAGTGTGGTGTTCGCAGGGTGCCTGTGGCCAGCCCAGCCAGCAGAGACAGGATGGCAAAGAACCCCCACAGTGTCCCCTCCTGCAATGAATCACAGCACAGCAGGGTCAGTCCCGACCAGGGTTCACACCAGGAATGAGGCTCCATGAGCTGGGAATAGGGTCAGGTAGTCCTGGCCATTGCAGCCAGACAGACCTGGGCTCACCTTGGGCTGCAGGTGCGTGGCAGGTCCTGCAGGCCTTCGCTCTGGTGGCCCCAGTCGCTGGTCCATGCTAGCTGCAAGTACAGAAGTTGGGGTTAGTGCCCACCCAAGGTGGGTATAAAGCTGCCTGGCTGGGAGTTGTCACATGCCTCCCTGCCCTGGGCAAGCATGCCACCCCCTCCCTCGCCCCCCAAAACCTCACAACACCTCTTGCACCCCATTCATGGCCCACCCCTACCCCTCTCCTCTCCTGGCATAGCCAGGCATCCTCACCACACTGAACACCCCTTCCAAGAGATTGGGCAGCTTGGGCAACTCAGCCTTTGTACAGCACATCTCCTCAGGGGCAATGTAGCCATGTCCTCATGTGAACAGCCTGGGATGCCAGGCTGGGCTGTGAGGCAGCTGTTGGGGCTGGGAGTGCTGCACAGGGGGGCCCTTTCCCATGGCCCTTCCCTGGGAATGTTTTTCTTGCTCACAGTGGGAGCCTGACCTTGGAAACTCCAAATCCATTAGCACGGGGTCCTTGGGTGCAGCCACCCCTTGGCCCCATGCTGGCTCCCCAGGCTGCTGCCTGCGCCAAGCTGGGACACACAACCCCTGAGCAGCCTGCATGAGTGGGACTGCAAGGGGCAGGATGCTTAGGCAGCTCCTGTGGGGACCTAGCAGGGTATGGAGCACCATGCTGTGCTCACTGTAGTCATTCACCCCAACACCACAGCTTGGCATCCACTGCCCTGACACGCAGAAAGGCACTGCATCCCTGCTGTGCGTGGTCCCAGCGAAGAAGCAAGCATGGTCTCAGGGGAGTGATGTTTCCCAGGAGGTGCTGGGGCAACTCCCGTTTGCAGGACATCTTCACCTCCTTCCCCAGCTCCCCCCTGCGGTGCAGGGGTGCCCCAGTGTCCAAAGCTGGGATACCCTGCCTTTGAAGGGTTTTAGAAGCGGTTCCAAAAGGGGTTGTAGCTTCTTGTCCCATCTGCTGCATATCCTGTCTCTCAGGATGGCACTGTACCCTTGGAGCCTAGTGACATTCTGCATTCAAGAGTTCCTCCATCCCCTCTGTGACTTTGGCTTTGCCCCTGCATGTCCCATTTGCTTCAACGGCAAAGGAAGCAATGGGGGACAGGGACAGGCTGAGCAGAGCGCTCCTGACCAAAAAAAAAGTGAAAGCACATGCCTGGGCACTGCTGGGACAAGAAGAAAACATAATTCCTTGCAGTCCCTCTAGCATCTCAGAGGATGGTCCCCAAGTCCCAGTTGTGGAATCTGATGCCACCCTGCACTGGCCACACTGTGACACGGGTCTGCAATGGACGCTGTCCCCTCCAGGCGGGATGCGCTCCCGGTGCCGGCAGGGCTCGCACCAGCCGCCCCAGCCTGGGCAAACACAGCCCACGCTGCACTTCGCTCCCGTGGTGGCCCCACGCCAGCCGCTGCCGCCAGGTCAGGGATTTCCCAGGCCGGCACTGCCGGAGGGGCCAGGCGAGGGTCCCTACGCCCTGCTGGAAAGGGACAGACTTGTCCCCCTGTCCTCACTTCCGCGGCCGGCCGCCCTGCTGCGGCCCCTCGGCTGCAGCGTCCCGGCGGGACGGGATGGAAAGGGGACGGGACGGGACGGGACGGGTCGGATCAGCCGGTGCAATTCAGGCTTCTCCCGTCCGGCGGCAGCACGGCCCCGGACTCTGCAGCGGCAGCGCTGCCGGCGGGGCGCCGAACGAGGGCAGCCTCCCTTCGCCACCGGGAGCCCCAGAGCCGAAGCGACGGACTAACACAAGCAGTGCCTCCTCAGACTCGGGGCCCCGTCCACGGGGCAGCTCCTCGGGCGCGCAGCACGGCAGCCCACGCTGGCCCCGCAGCCCCGCTCGGATCTGCTTTCGTCCGGGGCGGGCAGGGCTGAGCAGAGCACCTGCACCCCACGGGGTGCCAGACCTGCACACCCCACAGCAGACCCCCATGCCCCGTACGAGAAAATCTGGCTGGATCTCCCCTAGACACGGCTGCCAGAGCCCTGCCGGGCGATTCATAGACACAGGAGGGTTTTTTCCCAGGGTCGGAACCGAGCTCATCCATGTGAGCGCGTCTGGACCCCCGTCACATGTGTCCCCCGCCCGGGGCTAAACAACAGCAATTGTTGGTGCAATCCCTGAGCAAGCCAGCTCACACTCCCTCGTGCAGAGCCCGGCGAGAGCCCCGCTGCCTGCCCTGTGCACGGCCTGTCCCGTGGCTGCACCGGGCCCCCGGGGGAGGCAGCAGACACTCGCGAAGTGCATCCACGCGGGCCCAGCGGGTGCCCCAGGCCCGCGGTGAGTGTCTCGGCTCTCGGAGTAGCTGTGTCAGCCCTGTAGCCGCGGGCCCCACCTGGAAGCGCGGGGGGATGCGCAGAGACCCCTTCGGACACCTGCGGGCACCGGCGGAGGCCCTGCATCCCTTCGCGCTGACCGTGGTAGAAGAAGTGATGGGCGTCAGAAATCAACCCCACGTATGCTGAGGAGCGGGCACCCGCCCCGCAAAGCCTTAGAAGACCGGGCTCGGACACGCAGGAGACACGGCAGAGATCAAACTCGGCCCCAACTCAGGGACAGCAGAGCCGGGGGGCTCAGGGTACCCCCGCCCCTTGCCTCTCGCCTGCCCACCGCCCGGGGCGCACACCTGTCCGACGTGCCCAACTGGCCGGGCGGGAGCGCAGCGAAGAGGCGGGAGAGTCCGTCCCCGTGCCCCTCGGGCGCCCGCAGCGGGGTGCCGCCTCTCCCCGCCCCGGCAGGGAACCCCGGCCCCGCCGCGGCCCCCAGCGCTTCCCGCCGCCGGGTCAGGCTCGATACCCCGCTAGCCGAACGGGGGGGACTTGCCCGAGGGCGGCCCGAGACCCCTCACCGACCCGCGAATATTGCCGGGAGGTGAGCGGCGAAGCGGGTTACCCTCGTCCCCCCCGTAGTCCCGGTACGAGCCTCCGCCGAGACTCGGGGCCGCCGGCAGGCTGGGGCGGGCGCTGTCGCCCGCCACCCGGCCCGCACTCACCGTGCCCGCGGTGGGGACCATCCCCCGGGCCGCCGCTGCCCCGCATCGCCTCCGCTCCCCGCCGCCCCGGCGCTGCCCCGCCGGCACCGATTCCCGCCGCTGCTCCCGGTGCCGCTCCCGCTGCGTCTCGGGGTGCGGTGGCGGCGGCGTCAGGCGGACGCGCAGTGCGGGGCACCGGCGGCTCCATCCCGCTCCCGTCGTCGCTGCCGGTGTCAAATTCCAGCCACCGTCACCTGACCGGCGGGGCGGGCACCGGCACCGGGACCCCGACTCACACTGGCACCAGGATACCAACCGGCGCCCCGATCCGCTCGTAGTGGCACCGAGACTCCGACCCACACGGGCGCCTGGACCGCACCGGGATCAAGAAGGCACCGGAATCCCGCCAGCAGCAGGAGTCGCAGCCCAACCCGCTTCAGCACCGGCTCTCGCCGTGATCCGCACCGCCTCCGAGCTCCCGCGGAAACTCGCACCCCTCCGGGAACAGCACCGGGATCCCCGGAGGCACCCGACCCCCGCTATCGCCACCTGCCCGTCGGCCGACCCCCGGGCAGGCGGACCCGCTGCCCGGACAGACGGACGCCCCGTGATCGGTGCTTCCTGCCCCGACAGCCCGATCACGGCGCTACCAGGACGGACACGCGGACACCCTCGGGAAAGGGTTCAGCCCTTCCCGGAGCGCTCCGGGAGCAGAGCCCCGCGGGGACCCCACGCCCCGCGTCGAAGGGCAGAGCCCCGCGGGGGACCCCTTGCACACGTGGGGATCCGGCGGGGATGGGTTGTCGGGCAGGGTCAGGGCTGTCCCGGCAGCGGCGGGGCCGGCCCGCGTCCCAGGCATCCCGAGCTGACTCGGGTCACCGGTGTGCCTGGCGCTCGTGTCCGGCCGCGCCGGAGGAGGAGTCCGGCCTCCCGGCCTCCGCGCCCCGCGCCCCGCTCCTCCTCGGCTGGGCCGCCCGCCACCGGGCTCCTTACCTCTGCCGCCGCCCTGCCTCCCTCCGCCGGGGCCGCCGCTGGCCCCGGGGACATGGGGGCCGGCTGGCGAGTGGAGCCGAGCCCGTGCGAGTCCTTACGTCACCGCCCGGGGCCCTCCGCGTCCATCCCGGGGCTCTCGAGTGCTCCTTGCGAACGTGCCAAATCCCGGGGCCGCCTCCGCTCGGCCCCGCTTCACACGTGCTCCCCTGGCCGGAGCTGATCGCCGGGACGCGCCCCGAGCCAGACGAGCCCCCCGGGTCCGGCCCTCATGGCTGCGGGGTCCGAGGGCGCCCGGGCGGGCTGCGCGCCCCGCTGTGCCGCCTGCCGTGTCACCTGCCCCGGCGGCGCTCCGCCGCCTCGGCGCTACTCCCCGGGCTTATGCAACTCCCCGGCTGGAGCGGGGCCAGCGGCTCGGTCGCCGGCTGTGCCACGGCTGCACGCCCAGGTCGCCCCGACCCCAGGCCACCCGCGTGGCTTTAACTCCTTCCCGCCGCCCGGCAGCCCCGCGGGCCCGCGGAAGGGTCGGACGGCCGCTCCTGCAGCCACCTGCGGAGCCGCCGCCTCGCTTGCTCTCATCTCCTCGGATTATCCGGCGCGGGGGTGACAACTCCCGCGTCCTCCTGCGACATCACCTGCCAGGGAGTGTGCGGGCACAGGCGGCGCCCACTAAGCCGTCCCTGCCACCGCGAGCAGGGACAGCGGAGGTGGCACGCGGCCCGGAGCTGCTGCTTTACCTGCCCTAAAGCGGCACCGTTTGGCCCCGGCTCCCCCGTTTCACCCCCACTCCTCTCCTGGCACAAGCATCCTGACCCAGTCTGTGGCTATGGGTGGCTCCCTGCCTTCTGGTGGCACTGCGTGGGAGCACGGGCTGTGCCGTGGGACTGGTGCTCCACAGCCACGGCCTGGGGCTGCTCCCGTCTGAGATGTCCTCACGGGCATCTGAGGCAGTGCCCAGCAGAGTTTTGGAGGCCCTGGTGCATCCCTGCAGTAGAGAAACAGCTGGGAGCGAGTGACAGGGAATAGGATCCTCTGCTTTGCAGGGCTACAGCTGCCTGCTTGGAAAATTTCAATGTGAGTGGCATGTCCTGTTCCAGGTTGCTTGGCTGTCCCCATGGAGCTGCGTCTGGCCACAGCGTTGCCCATAGTAGGAAAGCTGCCCAGGAAGAGAGGGCTGCCAATGAAGGGAAGGGCTGCCTCACCCCCAATAACCCTCAGGGCTTGGAGACAGCCTCGGGTGCTGGCTCAGCAGACTTGCCTCATCCCCTCCCACCTTGCCGAGGTTGGGCAGGTCTTCATGTCCCCAGGACACAGCCAGGAAGTTCAGAGGATGTGATGCTGGTTGTGTGCAGGGGGCTATGTGGGGCATGGCACAGGGTATCCAGGGCACCCATACAGGTGAGCCCACAGTGTCCCCAGTCATGTGGAAGGGGTGGCTGTGCAAAGCCTGGCCTCTGTCCTCTTCCAGGTGTGCCCCCTTCAAGGCTGCTATCCCAGACACCTGCAGGCACTGGCTCCCTCCTCTGCCCTTTCTTCTCGTCCTGGGAGACATAAGCCTGCAGCTGCTGTCAGCTCCACTAATGTCCTACAAGCAGCACCTCCACCCTGTCCTCCCACAACCATGGTGGCAGGGGATGTCCCAAGTATGGGCCTCAATCCTAGCACTGCTCTCCCCTCTTGGGCTCCCATGAGTACTGGCTCTGCCCTGGGGCATGCTGGGCATGGCTCAGGCTGCACAGGGTACTGGGGTGTACGGCAGGGCTCCAGCCCCACAGGGCTGCAGACAGAGGGGTGACCTGCTCCCTGGCTGCTGCTGGCACTGCCTGGCTTGGTACCTCCCAGGGCACTGCCTGTGCCAGCCCGTGCTCCTGCGCCCCTGGGGCTGGGGTGCCCCCAGGTGCCTTGTCTGGTCTGGAATAAGCCCTGCTGAGCCGAGCCAGGACCTGCTGTGACATCTGTCCCTAAAGGTGCCACCCTTGCATGTGGCAGGACGGGGGTGATGCAGACCAGCCAGATGGCAGGACTGAGCACATCGTGACTGCTGTCCGAGGCCATGGCTGGGTGTGACAAAACATACGTGGGAGAGAGCTGTGACGCAGGCTGTGTCCCATCTCTGCAGTGACGTGGCTCTTTCAGGGATATCTCTGAACAAGTCTCCTTGTCTCAGCTGACCTGAACGTCCTTGTGTGCCCTGGTCCCAGGCTCTGTGTTCTTCTCATCTTCTGCCCTCCCATGGCTAGGTCAGGGCATGGGCCATCCCTGAGGCTGGCTCAGCCAGATGGCAGTGGTGGCCCTGCTCTTTAAATGCTAGGAAAAGAGGAGGGATGGAAGGAGGATTTGAGCTGCTCCAGCATCTCCTTGAAACCTGCAACCATGCATCAGGGAGGGCTGGGCAGTTGCTTGTCTGGTGCCCCATTGGTGCTAGCAACAACCCACCCCTTGTTGAGAAGCTGGGAGGTCTGGCAGGGCAGTCACTCACCTGGAAGTAGCCTTCCTGTGCCTCCAAGCCATGGAACTGTCTCCAACACATCCTGTGGCTCTGGGAGCCTGGTGGCATCACCAGGGCTTGCCTAAGGGGTTACACTCTCCCAGCTGGGACTTGGCAGGTATGAGAGCTGGACACAGCCTCAGTCCCTGGCTTCCTAAACCATTTCCTTTTCCAGGACACTGTGGTGAGAAGGTCACTTGGCTGGACACCTGCCTTTGTCAGGGCCGCACCCAGCCCGATCACTGCTGTGACCCTTGGCAGGAAGACATCCTGCTGGCAGGGAGTCCCCAGGACAGCACAGTCACAGGCAGCTTGTCACAGGCAGGACAAGCTCTGATGCTTGTGCCTTCCAACATTAAATGAACCCAACCCACAATCCCCTCTCCCACCCCTCAAAGTCACCTGCAAGGAGGAGCACAGCCCTCTTCTGTCCCCAGCACCAGGCCAGTGGCACTGACCAGCTGCAACTCCTGGCAGCTGGATTACTGTTCCAGAGGAGTCAGCAGTGAAACCAGGCAGGGGGGACAGCCCAGCCAGGGGAATCCCTCTGCCTCCCATAAAAAAAGCCCAAGGCAGTAGAAGAAAGAGACCAGCCAAGCTTGTTTGATAGCTTTATTGCTTCTGTGATATGACTGAATTGATGTGACATAAGCCGGCTTGGAGGAGCCTGCAAGACTCTTACCCTCCCTGCCTAGAGGGAAAATTAAAAAAAAATGCAGAAACTAAAACTAATTTTAAAAACTCATTGAGTTCTTGCATCTTGGCTTGGTACAGTACCGGCGAATGCACTGGCCTTTTCAAGACCCTGTGCAGGCTGTGCAAGGAGCCAGGGCCCAGAGGGGCTGGGCTGTGGCCCCAAAGGGGCTCCTGCACTGAAGGACACGTCTCTAATACTGCAAGTGACACACGCTCAGACCGAGAGCACACGCTGTGCTGGTGCCCGTGGAGCTCGGCATGCCTCCCTGCCAAACAGTCTGGAAGCCCTTGCCCATGTCCAGTTCTGCCTGTACCCAACCCAACTGCACCCATTTGACACAGATGGCCCTGTCCTGACACCCTCCCCTGCTCCCAGCAGTGCTCACACTGAGGGACAGCACAGCATGGCCAGGCAGGGCCTCTCCACTTCTTCCTCCAAGGAAGGAGACACTGGAAGCCCAGAGATGCTGGGATGAGGAATGCTGGGCTGGATCCCATCCTGCCTCATGCTACCTGGCCATGGTGCTTACCTTTGGCATGTGTGAGCTCGAGGCCACAGCATGGCCTAACAGGGTGAGCTGGTGGTGGGATCCCAATGCCAGTGTGGTGGGCACTGACACACATGCACACGCAGCTCATGGTGCAGTCAGCACAGCAGCAGCAGCTCTCCGGCACCTCCTGTCCTCCAGAGCAGCACATGCAGGCTGCCCTGCAGCTCCCCAGACCTGCTCTGTGCACTAGTTGGAGCAAAACCCACTGTGGTCACTGGTCCCTGATCTCCCTGTGTTTCCCTGGGCTGTCTGTAGGCAGGTTCCCTGCCGCCCGAGTGGCCTTTCTGCACCACAGCGCATCAGAGGCACCAGGCAACCCCGCTCTATATTTAGGCTGTGGAGAATTCCCCTGGGCTCTCCCTTCCGATCTGACAAGGTGAGTCACTGCGAGGGAGAGGCCAAGACTCACATCCGTCCCACTGACCCTGCTCTGACCCGCGTGCACCGCTCCGAGCTGCCAGGACTGCAGCCTTTCGAGGGCGGGAGGTGGCTGCAGGTGCACGTGGGGAGGCAGCCAAAAGAATAGCACCCAGGAGCAAAACGCAGTGCTGTGCACTGCTCCTGGAGCTGGAGCCCCATCACCTGGCCATGGGCTGCTCTGTGGTGTCAGTGAGCCAGAGGAGAGTCTTGGTCCCCAAAATGCTCTTTTCCTTCTACATGCAGGTGGTCCTGACCCACCACAGTCACTCCGGGCCATGCACTCATCTATTCAACTTGGGCTCTTCTGCCTGGAAACTCCTGTCAAGGTGAAGGGAAGGACTTGGAGTCATGTCCCTGGTCTGTAGGGTCAGCTTCCCATCAGGACCTGTTCATGGCTGTGGTGGGGAGCTGGGATGATGGGGAAGGCTGAGCAGTGGCCATGCTGTGTCCTTGGACCTGGAGCTAGTGAGTTGGAGGACGAAAGTGCCCTGGAGCTTTGAGTGTTAAATAATGCAATTGAACAATCCTCTGTGGGGGCCCCAGCAGAGACACCAAAGGCTCTTCCCTCCTCCTTCCAGATGCAGCTGCCCACTCTGCCATCTCAGCTCACTGCAGCCCATGGATACAGCCCTAGGGCTCTCATGGCAGCTGTTTAAAGCACCAAGACAGAGAGAGTGGGTGTCAACCCTTCCCCAGCCACAACCTCAGCCAGACCCAGACAAGCATTCCCCCTGCCAGCATGGCTGGGACTCGACAGAAGATGGTCCCAAGTCCAGGCTGACACCCAGGAACTGCAAAGGGAGGGCTGCCTGGTGAGAGCCATGGAAATTCAGTCCCTTGGAGTCCTCAAGAAGGAAAAACAAACTGGGAGATACTTAAAAGGAGTATCTGCCATAGCATATGCTCAAAAACCTGCTGCAAACCTGACAGAGCATCCTAAAAGGAGGCATGTCCCTGGGTGAACGGGGACTGCCTGGCTGGGAGGCTGGAGCAGTGGGGATGGGACACGGGAAGAGTAAAGGGAAGGAGAGCCTCCCAGCATGTATTCTGCAGCCCAGAAGCAGCAGGAACTTTGAGCTGCTCCCAGATGACAAGGGAAACAGCAGCCACAACAAGAAGCTGGGCAGGACTTGCCCCTGAGCAAGCTCCTTGGCTACAGGCACAGCAGGCAGGAGAGGCTCCTGAGGGAGGCATCCCACACAGCTCTGTAAGCAGCACTCAGTGCCATGTCCTGGGAGCTGCCTCTGCCTGCAGCCTGATCTCAAACCATTCTGTACAGTTTGCTGGTCTGCCCCACGCCTGGGTCACTGCCTGCCCCTCCTGCACACCCCCTTGAGGGTCTCAGGTCCAAAGCCACAGTCCCTGCAAGTCAGAAGGTGCAGAGTTGGTCTGGGGGAGCCCTGCTCACCGTGCTCTGAGCATTCCTTGCCCAAGCCAGGGTCATGCTTCCTTCAGTCCAGAGCAAGGCAGACCGCAATCCTTGGGCTATGTCAGACACAGTGTCAGGACCATGAGCCCAACCCACATCCCTCTGGGATCCCCCTCCACTGACCCCAACACTGGCTAGCTGTGTGCCAGTACCTTGACACCCAGGTACCGGGACAGTGCCTGTGGGTGCACTCCAGCCTGCTCCAGGCTAGGAGAGCACAGGAGCCACTTTCCACATGTAACTGCTCATCCCCTTGGCAACCTCCCTTCTGCCCACGCTCTTCAGGTGGATGAGACCACCCTGCTGCCCTCGCACTTGGCCACGTTGATCAGTTTATTCCAGCTCCTCTGAAATATGTATACAAATCAAATGTGCAAATAGTGCATCTTGGGACCAAGAGGGCAAAGGAAGGACGTGCTCCTGAGAGAAGGAGGAGCAGCAGTGCTAGAGCAGCACAGGAGGAGCTTGGAAATGGAGTGAGCAGGGGCCGAGCAGAGGGTGAGAGTTCCCAGCAGGTTCCATCATCATTGAGGTCACACGTCGCTTAGATAGGGAACATGATTGAGTCTGGAACGTAAAACAAACATCTTTAGCAGTCTTCTCTCAAACTGTAAAGCTTGAGATCTCTGCTCAAGATCTGACCTCCTTCCAAAGAATAAATTACTCCCCTCCCACACAAAACCAAAGCGAGATGCTGTCCAGAAACAGTGACACAAGTCTGCACGGACTCTTCAGGGGCCCTGCACAGCAGGCACAAACCAAGAGGCCTGAAAGCCTTGAGCACAACGGGGCAGGCTGCTCTGCATCATGACAGGCAGGAAGGTGGGGAGGGTCTGCTGTAGGCGGAGAAAGCGACCAGCTCCCTGCTCCACCTCGGGGTCAGGCAGAGCAAATGGCTATGGAAAACACAGCCAAGTCAGTGGCTGCTGTTGCTGCCTCTGTGGAGGATGCAAGGAAAAATGCAGAAAAACAAACCCATGCTCATCTCCATCCAGAAGCTCCAAGTGGAGAATGAGAGGAAGCCATTATTCTCCCTTTGAATCGTAGCAGCACCAATGACACCGAAGTTTTGGATGGATTTGTTTTCCTGGGGAAAGGTCAGAGGCTGGTGACAATGCAGATGGAGCATGAAGAGGCCAGGTTTTTCGCAGGGCTGTGCGCAAGCAGACTTTGCCTTGTACCTTGGTATTTCTAGTATGGTTCCAGCAGAGTCTTTTAAAAAATAATACTTTGTACATTCAGGCTTTGCTGCCTTGGGGCAGCATCACCTCCCATTTGGCACTAATCATTTTATTCACAAACCTTTCTTCTCTCTCCTGAGTCTTTCCTGTCTAATTCAGGATGTAGAAGATCTGTCTGCGATGCAGAGTTCAAGAACTGTCCACTCAGCCCCTTGCCCACCTCCTGCCAGCTCTGGGCCTGGAGGTGGCAGATGTAACCCTCGTGCAGACTGGCAATGCAAGAGGGTCTTCCCAGAGCACCTGGGCATCTCTGTATGTCTTCAGTGAGGTGGGATTCTTGCAGGGGCTGCCAGTGCCTGCTCCCAGAGCTGCAGCTTGTCTTCGTCTCCTCCCTTGGACGCAGTGGCTGCAGCCACTCAAATCCCACTGGTTAGGTCAGTGATGACTCGGGCTTTCACCAGCTTTCTCAGAAATTCCTTCTCCCGCTGGATGTTGTGCGTCCAGGACTGGAAGAAAATGAGAGAGACAGGAGGTCAGCAACTACCCTGGCCAAGCATGCTCCTGTCCCTCATGCTTGGGGAGACTGTCAAGGACAGATCCTGCTGTAGATCAGAAGAGCCCTTGCGCTCCAAGGACCTCCTTCTATGTAAAGCTGACACAGTCAGCAGGGTCAGACCTGTGTACCTAAGGTAGAAAGTTTCCCTGTGGGCTGGGAGAAGTTTTTTGGCATGGTGAGATCTGGGCAATCCAGGTCCTTTGGGGAGACGTGCCTGCCCAAACTACTGTACACAGGAGTCCAACAGCACAGCACTGGTGATGGTCTGTGCCAGAGAACAGAGCTGGCAGAGGACACAATGGACACATGTACCCACCACACACAGCACCCTGCCAGGCCATGGGGGTGCATCCAGCTCAAACAGCCCAAGACCATCTCCATCAAAGCTGGCTCTTGCTTCTGCTAGCTCTGTCAAGAGGAAACCACATGCTAAAGGTTACACTAATACAGGGTGAAGGGTGATATGGCCACATCTCACAGCAGGCACTTCAGAGCAGTGATTGCTATAGCTGGTGTCAGCCTACCCAGATGTATTCCTTGCAGCAGGCTTGGGCTGGGATCACAGCATCTGCCATCACTCGCCTGTCCTGGGACTACTGAAGCACTTAATGAAAGCAAGAAGTGGTTTGTCACACCATGGAGCCCAAGGCATAACAGGGAAAAGCAACTTTCCCTAAAA